TTTTAATTTTAAAAGTATTTATTTTAAAATAAGTATTTATTTTATTTTATTTTTTTGGCAACATTTTTTTTAAAAATAAGTTTTGTTTTATTTTATTTTTTAAGTAACTTTTCTTAAATAAGTTTTTTTTTAATAAGTTCTTATTTTTATTTTTTTAAAATTTATTTTATATATGTAATGCAAAAATAAAGTTTTACCCCTTTTAAAAGTAATGAAAATTGTGAAAAGAAGTTGGATAACTAAAATGTTATATAAAATTGAGTGATCACGGTGAAACGTTATATGAATTGGATAGCCATGATTAAAATTAAATTAAATTGCATGGTCATGAAAATACAAGTATTAAGTTGGGTAGCTATGGTCAAACAAAATTAAATTGGGTAGTCATAATGACACCAAATATTAAAATTTACTAAAACTAAAATAATTAATAAAATCCATCTCAAGTGGATTATCGTTATGAGCGTACTTGGTGGAAATCGTAAAAGATAGAATTAAAACAGTAAATTGTTCTTTGCTTTTTGGAATTTCTGATGATTGTCACTGATATCTACTGCCAGTTAAATACTAGCTGAATTACAACATGAACCACCTGCTGTAACCAGGTTCCAACTTCTTAGGAGAAGTGGGTAAGTGGTAGCATCTTTTTAGGGAAATAAACAACAGAATACAAATAACAATATCTGAAACCACACTTATGAAATGGCACCCAGCTGTCGTCCACTTCCTTAGTCCTCCTTGTGTGATTCAAGCACGTGCTCTCCTAGTGAGTCAGCTAAACTCCACCTGTCCTATGTTGAACAGCACTTGAACACTTAGAACCTTAGCTTGAGACAAGCGTGCTCATAAGTATGATGTTATGTTCTAGATTTGATTGTGAGGACAGTCAGAAAAAAATTGGTAGGGAAGAAATTGGTCGTGGTCGTAAGATCCTTTTTTTCCGATGCACTATACAAATATTGAGTTCTTTTATGAATTAGACATATTGTTATTGCCTGTGGTTATATTTTAATTATGTACTTGTCCTGAATATTTTCCCCGCAAAGTTTCATTTGAGATAAGGATTTTATATTTTGATATGATGAGTCGCTTTGTATGTATCAAAAATCTGTATCACGACTTCATTACTACTCTGAATTAGTTCTATCTTGAGAGTTATATACAGATAACAAAGCTAAGGTAGCCATGTAAAAAAGAAAAAAAAAACGAAATTGAACTGCTAATCATCCCGGTCATCGGGTCCTCTTCAGCTGCAGGAATCATAGCTTCTCTTCTACTGAGAGGGATCATGTGTTGAATCAGTCTATCTTTGTCTTTCTGTCTGTACAATTACAACTAATATAATCCACTCCATGTGTGCCAACCGAAATTGAAAATGCTCCAGCCATCAATTGAATATGTCCAATTTACATCTTCTAGTGAGCATAAAAGGCAAAAATATTGACTTTGAAAAAGACTAGTCATAAATAATATTTTAGGTGTTTACCATTCAGATAAACCACTTCAGGATATGTATTAACACGTTTCTGATATGCATTAATACATTTTGTTAATTTCTATCTAGTTTTGGTCGGGACATCCAGAGCTTGAAGATTGGCTTTTTAGGACTGTTGTTGTAGATGTAAAGCAGTTTAGATCCTATCCTAGTCAAGTAGACAAGGCTATATGGCTTCTCTTTGATAGTAGAACTTTTTTTGTTTAAACAGTTTTCTGGCCTGGTATTCTAGTCAAGATTGTATTATTTCCTAAGAGGTTGCTTGTTGATGAGGGGTTAAAATTTTGAAATGTGATGATTGAAAATTATTTTGTTTTCATGGAAAATTTTTATGTGGAATCAAAGATTTGAAATATAGAATCTGTTGTTATATTTTGGTTATGTGGTCAGGGGCGGACCCACATGAGGTCATGTGGGGTCAAATGACTCCAAAAAAAAAAATTAAAAAATTTGAGTTTTATTTTTTTAATCTAACACTTAGCCCATTTGAAAAATACCAAGTAGCCCATTTTAAAATACCCAGTAGCTCATTTGTTGAGGCCCAAACCCAATTTAATAAAATTAAACACAATTCACACAACCCTATAACTGTACAGTTTCTGAATTTATTCCCATTTGAATTCGTCCCTGCCCCTGAGTGAGTCCCTGTCGAAACCATTTACCATCAACGGCATCCGCCATCCGTCGAAGGCTCGAAGCCCGCCTACCCTGTTCTTCTTCAAGTAGTCCACCATCCACCGCCATTCGTCAAAGTCCACCATTCACCCTTATAGGTGCGTTATCAATTCTCTATGCTAATTTCATCCAATTGTTTTGATAGCAACTTGTTTGAAGTTACTCTACTTCATTTATGTTATTATGTAGCCAATTTAATTCCACAGTTTCCACTTATGAGTTGTGACTGCAATTTAATTCCGCCATTTATGACTGCAATTTAATCCTACATTTCCACTTGCTTGAGTCAGTTGCGGCCTCTGTGTGTTGCTTTATTCCATGGTTTAGTTAATTGTTGAGCTCCAAATTTATGGTAGTAGGCTAGTAGCGACTAGCGTGTCAAACTTTTTGCCCTTTCTGCCTTTCACCTTTGGCCTTTAGCACCTTCAGGCTTCAGCTTTTGAAATGCACATTGAAAGGATCTAGATTCTAGAACAATATTAATCCGTGTTATATATTTTTCTCAATGTGTGATCACTAATATATTTTGAGGTACTTGAATCGGAAACAAAATATTGATTGTGTTCTCTTTAAGAAGTCGAAAAGAACGAAAGATGAATATCGAATTCGTCTGAATGCGTCAATTGATTGCGTTCGATTGCTTCTACAACAAGGGCTTGCATTTCGTGGGCATGACATGTAGTTCTAAATATTTTTGAATTCTTATTTTTGACCCCACAAGACAAATGG